GATGTTACTGACAGCTTTTCGTGGTTCCATCTGGCTCGTTATGCCTTTGCCAGCAAATATTACCTGACACAATGAAACCTCCCCTAAAAGTATAAATATTATATTTCATATTTTAAAATATAAAACTATAAAAGCCAGAACTTTAGTTGTAAAAAGTTGTTTAGTTGGCTCACTTGATAATGAAACAAATGGGTTTATAGTTATGCACTCTGTGTTTTCGCGAATCATTTTTTTACATGTCTTTCCTTTGCAAGCATAAACTAACCCAGTGGCAGTACCATCTACACCGTAGTTGACAAACTGTGGTGTTCCTTCATGATTGAAAACTCTTTCTGTTGCAATATCACCAATCTATACACCATTTTTTTTTTTTTTTTTATAGTTCTTCATTATACTGCAAGCAATCAGTTCATCAGCTAAGGCATCTGGAATAAAAAAGTTGTAAAATTAGTAATATAATCAAGTTACATAAATTATTAACGTACAAAACATATAAACTTATTTAAAAGTAAAAACTAAGTTGTAGAACACTTGAAAATGAAATTGAAAATAGATCTTTTTATAATCAGGCTAAACTAAAAAAACAATATGTGATAAAAAATGTGTACCTAGATAATCAGTAGCCATTTCTCGAGTTCAATTTAGGGCTCTGTTCATTTTAATTCGGCTTTGCCTCTTAATGACAATATCATCATATTCAGCATGCCATCTTCTCCAAAATGATTTCCCGAGTCTAAATAGTTTGGATAATAAGGTTCTGTATTTTACATCTATTTAATATCTACTGTACCCTTGTACCTGTTTGAATGTTGATAAATTAGTTTAAAGAAAAAACTTACTTACCTTCCATTTTGTAGAGCTGTTTTTGCGCTTCTTCCACCTTTTCCGTTTTTGTTCAAATGATCTCTGATTTTCAGAACTTCCAAAATAATTTCAAAAACTTCTTTCTTAGAGAGTCCCTTGTGGGCTCTGTTTTTTTTTCTGATAAAGCAAACTATTTCCTTCTCATCATCTGGGTATAACATTCTCAAATGTTCCTTTTTACATTCTTAACTTTGCCATCTAATCTTCTGTCTATTTTACCTCAATCTTTAATTAAAGGAAACTTTCCTGTTTTTAATGCTGCCTCGTTGATTTTTTTTCTGTGCAGTAATCTACTGCCTTTGCTATTTGATTTTCTTTAGCTCTTATGTCTTTTCTGTAAACTGTTGCTTCAGCTTGAGTTTCTGGCTTTGTCTTTGTTCTACCTCTTTTTCTACCAGCAGAAATCTTAAAATTAGATTGCGGTTTTCCCATACTATTATTTTATTTAAGCACTAAAAATAAAGAATATACATACTTGATTAGACAAAATGAACAGAAAGGTACCAGTTATAACCAGTTATAACCAGTTATAACCATTTTACCATTTCTTAGTTAAAGAAGATCAGTTTAAACGTTCTCTTCATTCCTGGTTATTCTAAGTGAGCTTGTGGAGGTATATTTTACCTAATGTAATGTAGTATTTAAGGGGGAAATCGTGTAGTTTTTAAAGGACTTTACTATCTAAAATGCTATTTTTTGTTGGACTAAGTTAGCAAGCCTCCTTAATATCATATTACACTAATTTCTGATATAATAAGAAAAAAATTTATAACTTTTAGAAATTTTTCATCCATATAAATACAATTATGTTCCTTGTAGTTTTTAAGGGAATATTTGAAATCAGAAAATTCACTCAGCTAATTCTCACTAAATATGGCAAAACAAGGATAACGACTTCCAGGGAAGAAAAACCCTATAATAGGTGTTTTCAAATCACAAAAAAATTCAAATAGTTGACCTGTAACGGATGTACTCCATTTTCAAAATTTGCGTAGTTTTTAAGGGAACTCTACCTGTAAAACGCTTTTTGAAAGAGAACTCATACCATTGGTTTTCCAAAAACAACAACTCCCTGATACAATAACATTTTTGTAAAATACACCTTATAACAGAGAAAAATAGCTCATACTGTAGTAGAAATTTTCATATAATCCACCTGATTAACTAAAAAAATCACTTCAACCTAGAATAAAATACTGTAAAGCTAAAACTTTGCACCAGTAAACATAAACAAAAGATACTTTACCAAAAAAAAAAGCCCCATCAATTGAAACATCGGAAGGTGTACTTTTTGGCCTAATTAAAAAGGGGTAATAATTTTTATGGTCAAATTTTTTTTTTTTTTTAAATATACTTTTCATACATTGTTTTAAAAAGATAATTCAATACTGATTCATATTCGTATAAGAACTATGGGTTGAAAATAAAAAATTAATAAGATATGTTTGTTACTTTAACGCAACGTTTTATAGATTTAATGAATTTTACAGTACCCATGGCCATTAAAACAACTGATATTACATGCTAAGTTAATCATGAATGTTGTAAAGGTTTATATTTTTATAAAACGATTTAGTAAACAATTTTAAATAATAGTTAAAAGATATATGATGTTTTAGTATTTTGTGTTTATTCAAGGTGTACACCTAATATTTTAAAGAAACGGTAAAAAAACATTATTTAGTAATTTATTTTATTTAATTTGTATTTCTTTTACTTTTTTAAAAAAAATTGTTTTTGGTATTGAATTAATTTTATATTTAATGGTACATTTATTAATGTACTAGTTATAAACATGGTTATATCCATGTTTATCCAATTACCCATTATTATCCATTAACCGATTACTCCAAAGTCATATAATCGGTATTCTGCAAATTGTAGATGCAAATTTATTGATTTATTTTTAGATGGCTCAAATTGCTGTCGAAGAAAAATGTTCAATATGCAAAAAACCGTTTATTATTGACGAAACACTCAATAAAGAGTCATATGTCATTGTCAAGTTGAAGGGATAAAACACACTAATAAATTTCAGCAAAAAAAGGAAATGGAAAATTTAACTGTGTACTTCAATTCTATGAAAAATCAGAAACCGATAGGTAGAGTTCTAGTTCATCAGCTGCAGAAGAACATTTGTAGATCATAGAACTCTGCGCATAAAAAAACAATGTAAATTATTACAATGTTCGGTATCATCTTCTATTCTTGGGAACTCTTTTGACTGGAAAAAAGATTGTTTTCTTTGCGAAAAAAATGATGACAATAAAAAAAATGATGACAATAAAAAAAAAAATGACAATAAAAAAAATGATGACAATAAAAAAAATGATGACAATAAAAAAAATGATGACAATAAAAAAAATGATCACAATATAAAAAATGATGACAATAAAAAAAGCCTTGTTATTAAAGTAACAACTTTACCGATTCGTGAAAAACTTTTTAAGCGTTGTTTAGAAAAAAATGATGCGTAGGGAAAAACAGTAATCGGACGTCTAGAAAGTTGAATCGATCTCTTTGCGGTAGATGCTGTCTACCATAACACATGTATGACAATGTCTGATAATATCTGATATCAAAAGGAAGACCCCTTATATATCTATGTCTGATGCTATCTGATAATACAAAAAGAAGACCCCTTATATATCTATGTCAGAAGCGTTTTAAAAAGTTTATAATTGGTTAGATAAGGTCGCAGATGGTGAGTTGTGCACATCGAAGGAGCTTCATGAGACATGTATCAACTGAAATTATGAAAAAAATATATTCAATCAAATAGCTTAAAAAGAAACTAAAAGATCATTACGGTAACCATATGTTCTTCGCTGAGTTAAAAGGTTGAGCAGATCTGGTTTGTTTTAAAGATATGGCATTTTATCTTATTAATAAAATAAAGAAGAAGACAATAAAAACAGTTGATGATTTAGTTAGAGCAACGATTATTAAATCATATATAAGAAAAATCCCTCATAATAAAGTCTAATACCCTACTACAGGTTATATAGTTAATTGCAACAATGATCCAAAAACATGGGTTCCAAGTAGCTTAATGACATTTCTTCAACTGCTAATTCCATCCAAACTAAAACAAATAAATATTAGACAATGTATTGTGTAAACTTCAAGGCCTAGATCAATACTATCTCCAATTCCGTTTGGAATTGATGAATTAGACAAATCTTTTGGTTCTAAGAGGCTAGTTGATCATCTTTCAAAATTTGGATTCTCTATCACATCGGATGAAACCCAATCTGCCATTGAATAAAATGACACAGTTAATCTAAAAGAAAGGCTGCCATGTGTTGTTCAGTGGGTTGCAGATAATGTAGATCACAGTACTACTACACTATCTTGAGAAGGCGCATACCCAGTGGGCACAGGACGTCTATGGACGTCCATAGGACGTACCGTTTAGGTCTGTTCGTCCAAGTCCAAAATGGGACGTCATGAAACGTACAATGGACGTCCAAAATAGTCGAAGTAATAGTAAGTCCAAAATGGTAAGTCCTGAGACGTCCACAGTACGTTCGCATCTAAAGGAGGTATATTCTCTTCTCTGGGTTCTACTTTTACGCATGCGTGAATGTAAATTGTTATAAACATGGTGCAAAAAAATGTAGAGAGGTCAATTTTATCAACTAATTTAAGAACTTTAATTATGAATTCTATTAACTAATAAAATTCTTAATCTATTAATTAATCTTCTTCTGTTAACAGAAGAAGATTAGCCGGATAATAAGTTTTTATATATGGTTTATTTAATTGTTTTGATTTATTCTTTATTTTTATATAGATGTATCGATGGACCTTCCATTGAAGGTCCATCGATATAGGTACGCGCACTGAAATTTTTAAATTAATCATATAGTGCAATGTTATATATCATTAGAAAGGCCTTTAATACAGTATTTTAAAGGTGAAAAAATTATTAAAAACGAACAATTCTAAAAAAAGTTATAACGTTTTTAGTACCAAATTTAAGATATATGGAATTGTTGAAGAAACTGTGGTCAAAATAATTATTTTTTTCACTTAAATTATTATAACTTTGTCAATTTTTATCCAAATATCTATATCTTGGTATCAAAAGATAGGTGCACTAATGGGCTACAAGTTCATATAGGTGCCTGGACGTAGGGTGTATCTTGGGAGCCAGAGGGGGTAATGAAACACCATCTAACCCTTAAGAAAATACAAGTTTTTGTCAAAAATAAGCACTTTTTTAATGTAATTGTTAGATTTTATACATAAAATATTGTCATAACTTGATTCCAGAACACTGCCAAACAAAATAAGGTGATCTTAGAGTTGGCCGTAGATGTGGTTATGATGTTATAACACCCTAATACAATAATCATACATTCTAATAAATAATTTAATCTTTATTACAGTAATTAAATATTTTGTTAAAAAGTAAAAATACATTTTTTTACTATACAACATACATTAGTGATGTGCACACTAACTTTAGGGAAGGGCGTATGTCGCATCGCCCCCCCCCCCGCCCCTGCTTAAACGCATAACAAAAAATAAAAATAATTAAATCTTTATTACAATAACTAAATGTTAACAAGTAAAAATAATATTTTATTACTATTCAACATATATTATTGATGTACACATTGACTTTAAATAAAGGAAGTCTAATGCACCACCTCTCCCCCCCCCCTCCCTACCTAACAAAAAATAACGTCATCTTTATTTCAATAATCAAATGTATTGTTAAAAAGAAAAAATAATCTTTTGTAACTATACAACATACATTAGTATTGAAAATATTGTTGTATTACATGAAGCAATATTTTTTTTCTATAGAACATACATTAGTGATGTACAATTTGAGGAGAGGGATGGTTTTCCCCCTTCCCCTCAACCAACGTAAAAAAGAAAACACATAGAAATGATATTTTCAACATTTTTGCATGCAATTATTAAAAAAAGAAAGCACAATACAGAATTGTTTTACCAGATTGCACGAGTATACATTTTCTCATTTAAATAATCATATTTAACCAACCAACCTTATAAAAAACAAACAAACAAAAAAACAAATGTTTCGAAACATAGTAATTAATTTATGTCTTGGCTTTTAGTAAATGATTTAAATTAAGTTCCAATGCAACTAAATAAATCATTTTTAACAATAGACACCACGTGAAGGTAAGCCAGAGCCGCCTATCTTTTTTTTTTGCAAGCCACAAAACTTGCTATACCTATTTGCAAGCCACAAAACTTGCGGTACTTATTTGCAAGCCACAAAACTTGCGGTACACATTTGCAAGCCACAAAACTTGCTGTACCTATTTGCAAGCCACAAAACTTGCTGTATCTATTTGCAAGCCACAAAACTTGCGGTACTTATTTGCAAGCCATAAAACTTGCGGTACTTATTTGCAAGCCACAAAACTTGCTGTACCTATTTGCAAGCCACAAAACCTGCTGTACCTATTTACAAGCCATAAAACTTGCGGTACACATTTGCAAGCCACAAAACTTGCTGTATCTATTTGCAAGCTACAAAACTTGCTGTACCTATTTGCAAGCCACAAAACTTGACTTAATTATTATACTAACTATTTTAAAATAAAATTACAAAGTTGTAACAAAAAATCAATATAGCAAATAACAAGAAATGTATATACATATTAAATGTAATAGTTTATTAAATTACTAGTTGCAAAAGATGACTAAGGAACTAAAGTTAAACATATTATAAAGTTTGCACATTAAAAACTAATAGTTGTTTAACTTACCAGGTGTAGCACAAGAGGTAGATACTAAAATTACAAAGTTGTAACAAAAAATCAATATAGCAAATAACAAGAAATGTATATACATATTAAATGTAATAGTTTATTAAATTACTAGTTGCAAAAGATGACTAAGGAACTAAAGTTAGACATATTGTAAAGTTTGCAAATTAAAAATTAAGAGTTATGTAACTTACCAGGTGTAGTACAAGAGGTAGATACTAAAATTAAAAAATTAATATTGCAGCAAATGGGAAATCCATACACGACAAGTAATAAATAAATAAGTAAGAAATGCATATTTATGTATATTTCTTTAATGGTTAATTGAAGTTATGCTATAATAACTTACCACCTGTAGTCTGTGCAAATTGGCCTAAAGATAACAAAAAAGTTATATAATCAAAAAAAAAAAATATCTTGAAATTGTCAACAGTCAATAAAAATAACAGTTATCAAATCAGTTCTGCTTTACGTACAACAACCTATGTAACTAAAAAAAAAGCAATAAAAAAAAAATAAAAAACATAAATTATATTACTGTATTTTAAAATTATATTACTGTATATTAGAAAAACACTAACAAGATACTTTTATAAGAATAAACATATTATTGTAAAAGTATCTTTGTAATTTTAAAAAAATAAGCTTATTAATAATAAGCTTATTCATATAAAAATATCAATAATAATAATATTTTAAAATATCAATAATAATATTATTCTTAAAATATCAATAAAATCATAATATTATTCTAAAAAAATAATAATGTTATTCTAAAATTATCATTAATAATATTATTCTAAAAATATTTTGTCAAAAACTGTATTGGCTTAAGCCAATAAAGTTTTACTTTAAAGTATAATAATGTCATTTGTATATTTTTATATATATGGTGTATTTACAACATTGGCATCTGATACTATTAGTTAATAAAATATTCCAAAGTAACGGTTTAATCTTAAATCCTAATCTTTTTTAATATATACTATCATTGGTATAACTTATACCAAAGACTAAGGTTTTTAAACTTACACTATAAGTTTAAAAACCTTAATCTTTGTTTACATATCATGATGATATGTAAACAAAGATTAATGTTTTAAAACTTATAACTTTTTTGAATAACAAAACAATAATGATAAGTTTAAAAACCTTAATCTTTGTTTACATCATGATGATGTAAACAAACTTTGTTATTATCATGAAAAAGAAATTAACTTACTTTTTGAAGTCTTCTTTGTTATGACTTTTACCATTTTTTATTTATTAAAATAATCTAATATTAAAAATTAAATAATACAATGTAGTAAGAATTTTTTTGTTTACCATTCGCCACCCCCTTATCCTCCCCGTATTTCTCTTACCGATAAAACAAAAACAAAAACAAAAAAAACCGAATTTAGGTACCAAAAGTCCTACACTTCTTATACTATCTGCTCCCTAATATTTTTGGCTGAAATTTGGCATGTACAAAGAAAATGCATGCAAAAAAGTTCCTGAATAACAAAAAAAGCGGAAACTTCATTCCTTTGATAAGAACTTAATGTGAGAACATCAACGAAATTTTCATGAAAGTTTTTAGCAAAACTAACCATAAAAAAGTTTAGTGGTTATAAATAAAAGTACTATAAAAATCAAGCCTAACCTTTCTTCTTTCCAAATATACTTTTTGTTTATATATGTTTCTAAAAAAAAACACCACTAAAAACGTTAGTCTAACCCTACTTCAAAAAAGCAGTATATTTAAAAAAGCACCTCGTTACATATCTGCTCCCTAATATTTTTCGTTGAAATTTGGCACATAAATAGAAAATACATGTATAAAGGTGGCTGAACAATCAAAAAAGCGGAAACTTCATGCCTTCGACTACAAATTTATGTGAAAACATCAACCAAATATTCAGGAGCAAAATAATCCGTTAAAAAGTTTAGTAACCATACATAAAAGTTTAAAAAAACTAAAGATCAGCTTCTCTTCTTTCCAAAAAGTATCTATGTGTATATATGTTTCTAAAAAGAAACTCCACAAAACTACGTCTACCCCACGCTGCCTAAAAAAAAGTGAAAAAAACGAGTCACAAGATTTTATCACAAAAATCGGTTCAGTAAATGACGTAAATGCGCGTACCTAATCGATATATATATATATATATATATATATTATATATATATATATATATATATATATATATATATATATATATATATATATATATATATATATATATATATATATATATATATATATATATATAAACATATATATATAAACATATATATATATATATATATATATATATATATATATATATATATATATATATATATATATATATATATATATATATATATATATATATATATATATATATATATATTATATATATATATATATATAAATAGTACAATGTATGCACATTTATACCTATACATACCTATTTATAAATTGAAATAAATTTAGAATATATATGACCTTAAGGTTATATATTCATATATATTCTAAATTTATTTCAATTTATAAATAGGTAAATGCACATTGTACTATTTATATATATTTATATATTAAATATTATTTATTCCCTAATTAGAAAAGTTAAAAGTAAAAAAATAGTTATTTATTTCAAGTTGTTGTTTGTTAATTCTTGTAAAGAAAAATTTTAAGCCTGAGTTATTCAACTATAATTATACTTATATAAAAACCAGTTAATATTTTTTATAGTATAAAGATATATTATATTTAGTATATAGTTTTAAAATACATACTTTTTCATGTCTATAAGTGTTTTTTTGCAGTGTTTAAAAAAATTTATTGTTTTTTGGAAGTATCATTAAAGCTGAAATTTAAGTGCTTTTTCAATACTGATTCTGGAATAGCATTAATTGCTTAAATGAATCTTACCACAACATTCTGAAATTTACGTCAACATTGCATGTTGGACGACAGTTTTTTTCGTGGAAAGTAATTTAATGAAATTGTTTGCAATAAACCACAAAAACTTAACTTTATAGATCTGAATGTTTATTGCTTTTTTAATTCAGAATTTTATTATTATTATTATTATTATTTTGATAATTCCCTTCCCCAAGGCATTGATCATTGAAACGACAACATGTTTCTCCTACAAAAAGGTTAGTTTGATAAACTCATAAGTTATCATGAAAACATAAGTAATTTAATAATTTATTAATTAAATAATAACTTATTCAGTTAGAAATTAAAAAAAATTAAGTTAAAATGAGTTTATTCTAAAATATAATGGCAATCCTTATTAAAGATTCTCTATGTAAAATATCTTCTAAATGTATATTTAGAGGATATTTTACATATGTAATAGTATATTTATTTTGGCATTTAGACAAAACAAATAGATTAAACATTTTAAGCATTGTTTGCGTATTTATGTCATAGTTTTTATTTATTTAGCAAGCGAATAACCCAGTGGCAGAATTTAAGAAGATCTGTACAGAACCTTTCACAGTCAATTCAAACAAATAATAACATTGAGTCTGTTAATTGTAGCTCCTATAGTTCTTCCGCTTCTATGCTAAGCGGGGACGATTCTTCATACAAGACTTGTGCATCTCAAGATACTCTATTTACAGAATTAAATGATAACCAGGAAAAAGATTTACATGATATATCAATTAATAATGAATCATACAAAGATCTGGTACCATTAGAACCATTTAAAAATGAACTAAAGTGCTGGAGTTTAAAACATGGCTGCACCAGACAATGTGTAAACGACTTATTAAATATTTTGATTCGAAATGGTCACAAGGAACTGCCAAAAGATGCAAGGTCACTTTTATGTACTCCAAAGGTTGTTTCAACTACTTCCATGCATGTTGAAGGAAAATATATATATTTTGGTGTAAGGCAGGGCATTGAAAATATTTTGAAACACCATATCTTTAATGAAACTCAAATCAAATTAATATCAAACGTAGATGGGCTTCCTGTTTTTAAATCCAGTTCATATCAAATATGGCCTATACTGTGTCAATTTGGGCATTTTAAACCTTTTGTGGTTGCATTGTATGGTGGTGTAAAGAAGCCAATTGCATCTGAGTTCTTAAATGACTTTGCAAAAGAGCTACAAACCTTTGATAGTCCTGTTGCAATATGTGGGAAAGAGTATAGTATTTCTGTATTTGCTATTTCATGCGATTCACCTGCTAGGTCACTTTTAAAGGGTACTGTTGAACATTCGGGATATTATTCATGCGAAAGATGCAATGAAGTTGGTGTTTCAATAAGGAATCGTATTGTTTTTACCAATACAAAATTAAATATTTTACCCAGAACAAATACTGAATTGAAAGCTGGAATTTATTCTCAGGCTGACAGCTTTGGTCGGTGTCACCATCACTCATTGACTCCTTTATATAACGTTCATAGTATTGATATGGTTTGTGATTTTCCTCTTGATTATATGCACTTAGTTTGTTTAGGAGCCATGCGTCGTATTCTTTATTATTTTAAAGGTGCATATAAAGGAATTTTAAAAGGACGTTTGTCTGCTTCTTCTATTGGTCAAATTTCTTGCCGGCTTACTAATTTAAATGGCAAATTACCTACTGAATTTGCACGTCAACCTAGGTCATTAATTGAGTTAAATAGATGGAAAGCTACAGAGTTTAGAATGTTTTTATTGTATGTTGGAATTGTTGCTTTAAAGGGTATTCTTGATCATAAGGCGTACAAACATTTCTTGAGTTTAGTATTATCCATCCGTATTCTATGTGAAGACAATAATGAGACAAGAAGGATATTTTTAAGTTCCGCAAGACAACTTCTACTTTACTTTGTCTCAAATTGTCATGAACATTATGGGGACACTTTTTGTGTATACAATATTCACAGTCTCATTCATATTGCTGATGATGTGGAACATTTTGATGCACCTTTAGATTTTTTTTCCTGTTTTCAGTTTGAAAATCATTTACAAATGCTTAAACATTTAGTTAGAGGACGAAATAATCCTCTAATAGAAATCTCCAAACGTCTCAGTGAATCAAAGGGCAGTTTTTTGTGTCAAGAAAAAACTGTTACAAAAATTGACACATCTAAAAATTCTTGCTTTTTGACCAAAAGTCATGTAATTTTTGTAAAAGAAATTTTAGTTAATGGTAATATAGTTTGTGATGTTTTAGAAAAGGAAAGATTGGACAATTTTTTTGACGATTTTGTCGAGTCTAAGACTCTTAATATTTATTGTATTAGAGCAAACCATGTTTGTATGAGTCGTCAAATCAGCAAAGACAGATTATTGCGGAAATGTTTGTGTTTACCATTTAAAAATGACCATATAGTTATCTCATTATTGAATGATGTTAAATTTTAATGTTATACTTGTAATTAAATAAATTAGTTTATAGCCATGAATTGTGTACTTTCTTCTAAATTTTGGAACCATTTAATTCTCAGAACTTAATTGATCTGATATAACTGTTATAAATATTTTTGTTAAGTATACAGTTTTTGCATAAGAAAAGTTAGTAATTTTTTTTGTTTTGTTGTGCCTATGAATTGCGTTCCCTGTAGAAAATTCAACTTTCTTTTATTTCAGATTGTTCAGCACAATTGTTATTGAAGAAGATGGAGCAGATACAAAAACTGTTGTGCCTTCTCATTGGGTTGACCCATGTAAAAGTATTGTGTTTTATCCACCACGAGGACGGAAAACTGTTGCTGTTTATCTATCTGAATGGGCAGAACCTGGGGTAGGCTGGCAAGAGTTTAAACTGATAGAATATATTCTTGAAGCTGGCAGCTATGAAACTTGCCACACAATGTTAATGTTTCAAACAGAAGATGAGGATGATGATGTACCTAGTAAGTTGTTTATGGTTTAATCAATAGTACAGTCTAGAACT